GATATATGCCTAGGAGTGGTATGGCTGGATCTTGAGGAAGCGCTATTCCTAGTTGTCTGAGAAAGCGCCAGATTGATTTCCAGAGTGGTTGTACAAGTTTACATTCCCACCAGCAGTGGAGGAGTGTTCCCCTTTCTCCACAACCTCTCCAGCATGTGTTGTCACTCGAGTTTTTCATCTTGGCCATTCTGATGAGTGTAAGGTGAAATCTCAGGGTTGTTTTGATTTGCATTTCCCTAATGGCTAATGAGGTTGAGCATTTCTTTAAGTGCTTCTCTGCCATTCGATATTCCTCTATTGAGAATTCTCTGTTTAGCTCTGTTCCCCATTTTTTAAGTGGATTACTTGGTTTGCTGCTTTTCAGCTTCCTTAGTTCTTTATATATACTGGATATGAGTCCTCTGTCAGATAAAGGATTTATGAAGATTCTTTCCCAATCTGTAGGCAGTCACTTTGTTTTGATGACGGTGTCCTTTGCTTTACAGAAGCTTTTCAGTTTCATGAGGTCCCATTTATTGATTGTTGCTCTTACAGCCTGTGCTGTTGGTGTTCTGTTCAGGAAGTTTTCTCCTGTACCAATGAGTTCTAGGGAATCAGGACCAGGTAAATCAATTAAATAGTCCTATATCCCCCAAGGAAATAGAAGCAATCATTGAAAGTCTCCCATCCAAAAAAGCCCAGGACCTGATGGTTTCGGTGCAGAATTCTACCAGACATTCAAAAAAGAGCTAACTCCAATTCTCTTCAAACTATTCCACAAAATAGAAACAGAAGGAACATTACCAAACTCATTCTATGAAGCCACATTTCACCTTGGTACCTAAACCTCACAAAGACCCAACAAAAAAAGAGAACTTCAGACCTATCTCTCTTATGAACATTGACACAAAAATACTCCACAAAATACTCACAAACCGAATACAAGAACACATCAAAGATATCATCCACCATGACCAAGTAGGCTTCATCCCAGGTATGCAGGGGTGGTTCAATATACGGAAATCCATCAATGTGATCCACCATATTAACAAACTGAAAGGAAAAAACCACATGATAATCTCCCTAGATGCTGAAAAAGCATTTGACAAAATCCAACATCCATTCATGTTTAAAGTATTGGAGAGATCATGGATACAAGGCACATATCTAAACATAGTAAAGGCGATATACAGCAAGCCTATAGCCAACACACCCAGCTCATAAACCATATTTTTGAGAATTATAAACCCGATAATTTTGTGTATTCTCCCTGGCTGATATATTCAGCACTCTTCTTGGCTGTATTTTGAGGAAAAACATGAAAATAACTTGTTTTTAGTTAACTGGCACACAACATGGCTTTCCTTGACTCATCAGAAAGTAAGAACTTGATATTTTATGGCTGTTTCTTTAGAATGTTATCAGTTAAATAAAAAAAAAATTATGTGTGTGTGTGTGCTTGTGTGTAAAAGATCCAGTTTAATATGCTTCCAGGGGAAAAAAAAAAAAAAAAGACTATGGAATTTCTAGCAGTTTGGCATAATATGGTACCTAAACCTACTGTATAACCTCAGCAGTGGTTATTATCAAATCTTTTTAAGAATTCGGTGGTGAAGTCCTGATGAGACCAGATAAGCTAGGGTCAGATGGAAGGAGAGGAGGGAAAGAGGGTAGGATTGTGAGGGAATGAGGGAGAGGGCTACAGCTGGGATATAAAGCGAATAAAATGTAATTAATGTAAAAAAATTTTAATTAAAAAAAGAATGTGGTGGTGAGCCAGGTGTGGTGGTGCATACCTGTAATCTTAGCACTCAGAGAGGCAGAGACAGGCAGATCTCTGTGAGTTTGAGGCTAGCCTGGAACTACACAGAGAAATCCTATCTTGAAAAAAAAGAGAGAGAGAGAGATTATTCTGGTGCTGGTGGTGGTTTTTTAAGTATGTACAGCCCCTTGAAGCCAAGAAATGAATAGAAGAGGCTGGAGAGATGGGTCAGAGGTGTCAGGAACACTCACTGCTCTTTCAGAGAATCCGAATTTGGTTCTCACTTGTTACTCTAGCTCCAGGGGATCCAACACCCTCTTCTGGACTCCATGGGCACTTTCATTCACATGTGCACATAGACATATGAACATATAATTCAAAATAACATCTTTTTAAAAATCACTCTAAGAAAATTTTAAATTGTCATTTTCATAAATTCTGGGTTGAGCCATATAAAATAACCATTTTTGCAGGTCAAGAAGAGTGGGCATTTTGACACTTTCATATGTTTCAACCAAAAAAGATGAAGAATTGAGCTTTGTTGTTTTCTTATTGAGCCTCAGGAAAATAAGCGTTGGGCCATATTCCGCATCCATACAAAAGCATCTCTGGTGCTAGTAAAATGTCACATACTCAAACTAGTGGTATTGGACTATATCAGTGAAACTTTGCTCCTTTAAAAGCTAGTGAGAACGTTAGTGAATGTGGGTCCTAAAATGTATATGCTCTCATCCATGGCTGAAAGTCCTCACCAGGAAAAACCCTGGACTTCTTCTGTTGGTAGGACCAAATTAGCAAGCCAGGGTCCTGGAATGGGAACAGGCAAACGTTTCTACAAGTCAGAGTAATGTTCTAAGGTTTGCTGGTCTCTGAGGAAAGCTCTGGGTACACTGCTGGATCACATCTTTCCTAAAAATCTCATAAACTGACACAGATGCAGAGGTTAATACCACATGCCAGATTAGTTTGTTATCAATGTACACATTTATGTTAAGCGGCTTCTTGTATAGTACAAGTCTTGTAAAATCATCTGTTGCTCTTTGGGGTTCAGTTGCTGCACTAGCAACCATCAGAGACTGACCCAGACAGGCTCAGCTTCTTGCCTGCAGGGGCCAGTGGCTGCAGGGATACTTTGAACATTTTAATTACCAAAATGGAAAGATAGAGTTCAAGTTACAAAGTCTGTCTTTGGATCATTTTTGTTTTGTTTTGTTTTGTTTTTCGAAATAGGATTTCTTTGTGTGGCTCTAGCTATCCTGGAGCTTGCTCTGTAGATAGGTCAGGCTGGCCTTGAACTCAAAGATTCACCTACTTCTGCCTCCCAAGTTCTGGGATTAAAGGTATTGGTGCCCACAGCCCAGCAACTAGGATCATTCCTATTTGGGATCTTAAGTTTTGTTTGTTGGAGGTTTTAAAAATCATATGTGTTTAAAAAAATTGTATGTGTACTAGGTAACTTGGTTTTTGGTTTGGTTTGATTTTGTTTTGCTACTTCAGAGCCATACCCTAAAATATTTTCATATCCAGTTGAGCTGAATGAACCTAAAATTACCTCATTTCCTCAGATGGAATGCCTTTAATCTTACTTATTTCTAGACTTTTAAGGACATTTCCAAAGAAACACTTGCCTGAAGATTTAATTAGCATAGTACCGTTTGTGGAAGGAATGCTTCATGCTCATAAACTACAGGAGCTAATTTCTGCTCATCTGAAGAAGAGCAGATTGTCTCCCTGTCAGACATGTAAGATTTGTTGGTAAAGTTCTGCTGAGATGTTTAGGAAGCTCACGTGTTCTGGGAACGTGACTGTTGTCATTTCAGCTCTACAACATCAAGTTAGTTTCATGTGGTTAGTATGCACACAATGTTCTGTCTGCCGCAGGATACTGTCCTTAAGCTAACTGGTGTAAAAACCATGTGTGCCTTTTATTTTATTTTATATAAGAATTACTATAAATCTTAAGTTTGTACTGAAACCAAAACATGTATAAAGTGTCTAGCACATAGTTGGCATTTAGCAAACTAATCTTTCTTTTAGGAATACTTGGTGTGTTGTGATATTCACTGAGGAACCATTTTTGGAGGCACAAGTAGATGTCCCTGCCTATTTAGCTAACCTCACTTGCCCAATAAAAGTTTGAACTCTTTTTTTTTACCTCTCTCTTAGAGCTGTCTTAACCATTCAAGACTAGCATGAACTCTCTTCCTCCCTGTGTACCACACAAAGTCTTAGTCTTCCTTATGATGCTTTCTGTTCTTCATAGTGTTTATCACCACCTCACATTCCCTATATGTACTTCATATGGTTAGTACATTTTTCTTCCCTCACTAATGCCAACACCAGGAGGCCAGCAATCTTTGTTTTACTCACTAATATTACCAAGCATTTAGAATGGTGTTTGACTTATAGTAGACATTCATCTGCCATTAAGTGCATCCATGTGATAGAAAAGGAGCTTTGAAGAGTAAAACTATTACTGATGTCATGTAAGTAGGCCATCAGAGCTACATATAAACTGCTACAAAACTCTACTCTGACTTTGAAGTCAGTATTCTTTCTATTAGCCTACCATTCTACCCATTTAGCTTAAATATCAGTTCAGCTCTCAGTACTTGGTCTCACTTGAAGGAAATAACAGCTTTAGATAGTTGATCAGCTGGTATGTTACTGAGTTACTGCTGTTTTTCAGAGCACTGTGTTCTTAGCCATTAGTTTTAGAAATCCTTCTTAAAGAATACATGGTACTCAAACTTACTTTATGCAAACAATAATTATATACATAAATGGCTTGTATCATGTAGTAATATTGATGACAGAGCTGTCAAGACAATGGGAATTCCTAAAAGTGGGAAACTTGATGACAACCTAACCCAGTCTCAACAGACGTAAGTAAAAATCATCTAGTCCCACCAGCATGTCAGATGCATTCACCCTGCTTTCTTTATGAGAATTTAGTTCAGAAAACATGGTGCCGGTTTAGGAAGTATGAAGAGATGGTAAATTACCTTTAGTCATTTCCTGCAACAAGTTTATTAATGAAAATACTAGCAGAGGTGGAAATATGGTTCAGCAAAACGTGTATTGCTTGTAAGGAACTCAAGTTTGGTTCTCAGCACCCACATCAAACAACCCACAACTACCAGTAACTCCAGCTCCAAGTGATCCATTGCCCTCTTCTGAGCTGTATGGGTACCTGTGTGTACATATACAGACAAGCAAGCACATACCCATATACATAAAAAAGAAATTAAAGAAAATATTACAAACAATTAAGCCATCCAGGCTTCTTTCCTCTTGGAGCCTTGTATGTAATTGCTGTGAAAAGCAGCCTCCTTTGAAGTCTGTATGCACTGTTGCCTACATGGATTGTCCTAAGGGACTTTGGAGACATTTTCTAGAGGTTATTCATGCCTCTGATCTCAGTGCAGTCCTTAGTCTAGTTTACATGGTGCCTTTGGGAAGCCCCAGGGTTCACACTGACCAGGTCATCATGTCCATCCTCACCAAGGCACAAAATAAGGGATATATTATTGAGGCCATAAGTAAAGCCAAGTCTAAGTTCTTCAAAAGATCCATGTTTCACTAAGTGTAAAGCAGATGAATTTGAAGACATGGTAGCTGAGAAAAAGGATCATCTTGAATGGCTGTGGGGTCAGATATACCCCAGTAGTGATCCCTTGAACAAATAAATGACAGGCCCTGCACTCCAGACCTCCATGGAGGTCCCACCAAATCATGTTCAGTAATAAATCTCACAGCTAGTCAAAAATGTGTGTATGTATCTTTAGTAAGTAATAGTATATAAAGTACTCTGTTGAACTTACACATTTTGTTACTTATGGGTATGGCAACAAATGTTCAAATTTACTGTCAACTCCTTCAGTAAAGTGACTGTAATGCTTTTTAAATGTATTAATTACTAAGCTGTAAGAACTTAAAGAGGGAAGAGCAAAATATCAAGGATATTTAAAAAGTAGACCAGAAGCTATAAAGAGTAAATTTTGCTGCCTTGTCCCAAGAAAGCTATTCATAGCACATGGCTGCAGCACAGATTCTGAGCAAAGCCTTCAGAGCCAGTCTTTTTTTGTCTGGTGTGGGTGACAGCGTTGAGCCTGTTGAATTGTAAGATTCTGTTGCCCCTTCAAGTGGATGAGGTATATGTGTATATGTGGGAAAAAAATGAATATCTGTACCAAAACATTGCTTAATAAGCCATACATTACAATAAAATCTGAGGAGCAAGAAAAAAAATTTTTTAACTGGCACTTTGATTTATTTTTCTTGAGTTAAAAAAAAATGTTATTATAAAAGAAAAGAGGAGCTGGAGAGATGGCTCAATAGTTAAGAGTACTGGCTATTAATTGTTCCTAAGGACCCAGATTTGATTCCCAGCATCCATATGGTAGCCCTAGTTTCCAGGGTATCCAACATGTGATACACAGACATAAATTCAGGCAAAATATCCTTGTACATAAACTTTAAAATGTTCATTTTTTTAAAGAGTCAAATACAAGCCATAGGCCATTTTTTTAACCCTTCAAAACTGATCTGCTTCTCTAAGAAAGGTAGGTTGACTTTTCATAACATTTCATAATACCACTGCTCAGATGATCCATGGGATCATCTAACTAGTGATTTTTTTCTTTCTCTCTCTCTCTCTCTCTCTCTCTCTGTCTCATGTGTGCTCTCTCATTCCCTCTTTCTCACACTCTCTCTTGTTCTCTCTTTTCCTCTTTCTTTCTTTCTTTCTCTATTTTTTCTTTCTCTTTCTTCCTTTCCTCCCTCTCCTCCCCTCCTCTTTTCTTTCTTCCCTTCCCCTCTCCTCCCCTCCTCTCTTTTCTTCTTTCCTGACAGGGTTTCTCTGTGCAGCCTTGGCTGTCCTGGACTCACTTTGTAGACCTGGCTGACCTTGAACTTAGAGGTCTGCCTGCCTCTACCTCCTCCAGTGTTGGGATTACAAATGTGCACCACTGTGCCTGGCTGACTAGGCATTTTTTTAAATTTATATAATTTAGTTTACCTTGAGGCCAATTATTATTTTTCTATATTTAAATGTAGAAGAATTTCTTCATAGTTTTATCTAGCTAAAAATGAAGAATCTGTCATGTTCTTTCACATCTTCTGCAAGCAGATCAGCAATAAATTGATTTTGAGTTTGTGGATTTTTTTTATTAAATATTTTATTACCTGTCATAAAGGTATTTTGGGGTTTTGTTTGCTTGTTTTGGGAGGGTTGTTTGTTTGATTGTTTTAGACAGGGTTTTACTGTGTACCCCTGGCTGTTCTAGAATTCACAGAGATCTGCCAGCCTCTGACTAATCTCTTCTGAGTGCTGGATTAAAGGCATGCATGCACCACCACCAGCTAGGTTTTCCTCTTTTATTATTACATTTATTTATTGGGGGAATTACACATGTAGAGATCAAAGAACAACTTTCAGGGTTGGTTCTCTCCTTCCACCATGTGAATCCCACAAATTGAATTCAGGTCATCAAGCCTGCCAGTACCTTTACCTACTAAGCCATCTTACTAGCCCTGTAATTAGTTTTATTTATTGTTAAATTTGTTTTTTACTGTACTTAATTTTTTTTTTTTAGTTTACTGAAAATTTGAGTAAAAAGTACAGTTTCTACATAGCATCTCATTTCCTGTCACATCCCCCATAGTTTCCCATTTTTCTCTTTCCACTGACTGTGGTGTGTGCAAAGCTACAATAATATGTATTTGTCGTTACAGTATTGTACAGTCGTTTCACCGCCCCAAACACCCCTGTGCTCTCCTTGTTCACCCAGCCAACCCTGAACTGGCTTATCTACTCAATCTGTGGTGTTTACCCTTCCCTGGATATAAAATACAGTTGGAATCATTCAGTATGTCACTTTTTCAGTTTGGCTTTGTGTGTGTTTAAGTTCTTAGTGTCTTCTTGCATCCAAGTTTTGTGTACAAGTTTTGATGAAGGCGTGAGTTTTCAGTTTTGAAAGGTATATACCAAGAAGCTCAGTTCGTGTATGTTGAGTGTGTTTAGTTTCATAAAACACTGCCAAACCACCTTCTAAAGGGGCTATGCCAATGTGTGCCCTCACTGGCAGTCTTCATTGTTCACGTCTTTGCCGGCATTTGTAGTCGGTATTTGTGTGAGGGTTGCTTACTAATGTTTAAATTGCAGAACACTGGTGATACTGAAATTAAGCTGCTTGTCACATACTTACCTGCTATCTGTGTATTTGGTGAGGTGTCTGTTCTGATCTTTAGAAGGGGGAGGTGTTTGGTTAGGTTTAGGAAGTTTTTGTTTTTTTGTTTTGTTTTGTTTTCCTTTTCTGGGTTTGTTTTGTTAAGACAGGGTTGAACTCTGTAGCCTGGGCTACAGAGTTGGCCTCAGACTAAGGGCAGTCCTGCCTCAGGCTCTCAAGTAGTAGAGTTACAGGTATAAGCTACTGTGTCTAGCTTTGTGTATGTGTGCATATTTAATTGGGATGTTTGGGTTTTGTTTTGTTTTTGTTATTTGAGGTGGGAATTTTAAAGGAAGTAATTGTTGAGTTTTAAGCAGTCTTTGTAGAATTTTTTTTTTTTTTTTTTTTTTTTTTTTTTTTTTTACTGGCAGCGTGGTTTCAGGTTTTTGCTAAGATTTTTTTTCCATTCTATTGCTAGTCTTTCCGTTCTTTTAAGTAAATTAAAGTCCTTTTGTAAGTGCATTTTATGTTAATAATAAAAGTTGTACTGGTCATAACCAAACTTTGAGCAGAATGCATGGAATTTTATGTAAGAAGGGGGAGATAGAAAGACCTAGAGGGGGTAGGGTAGAAACTCCAAAAGGAGACCAACAGAACCAAAAAAAAACAAAAAAACAAAAAAAAAAAAAAAACTGAGCCCTGGGGGCCCTGAAGAGAGTGATACCCCAAACAAGGACAATGCGTGGAAAGGACCTAAAACCCTGGCTCATATGTAGCCCATAGACCTAGTCTCCAAATGGGGTCTCTAGTAAGGGGATCAGGGGCTTTCTCTGGCATGAATTCAGTGGCGGGCTCCCTGATCACCTCCCCCTGCGGGGGGGGGGGGGCTGTGCAGCATTGCCAGGCCACAGAGGAAGACAGTGCAACCAGTCCTAATGAGACCTGATAGGGTAGGGTCAGATGGAAGGGGAGGAGGACCTCCCCTATCAGTGGACTTGGGAAGGGGCATAGGGAGAGAAGGGGGAGGGAAGGTGAGATTGAGGAGATGAGGGAGCAGGCCACAGGTGGAATACAAATTGAATAAATTGTAATAAATGATAATTTAAAATGTAACAAAAAAAGGTGTGGTGACTAGAAGTATAGAGAGATAGATAAAAAAAAAATATTTTATATGTGTGTGTACCCATGTACCTCAACACGCTTGAAGGTCAGAGGACAATTTGAGGTACCAGTTTTGGAGTTCCAGTCTGTTTCAAGGGATTGAATTCAGGTTATCAGACTTGGTAGCAGGTGGCTTTACCTGAAGAGCCAAACCATTGTATCTATTTGTTCTCAGGGCTCTTGGATATAGGTTGCCTTTCATCCATTATACTGGGCACATCCATTAAGTGGACCACTTCAGTCTGCTGTTCTTGAGTTCTGGGAAAGCTTTTTTAATTTATTCTGCTGAGAATGTCTACCTCCCCATTCTCTGTTCTGTAACTCCCATTAACTGGATGTTACTAGAACCTAGACTCCACTACTACTTGTCTTAACTTTGTTCTTATTTTCCATCTTGGGCATTTTGTTCTGTTGTTTGTACAACTTTAACTTTATTACCAACCTTCTGTCTCTGCTATCATATTTTTATTTTCTAGGATTTTTATCTCTTCAGTGTCTCTTTTTCCCTAACATTCTGGTATTCCACAATCATAGTTTATTTTTGTTTTAAATCCCTGGTGAGCTCATCCCTTTCTTCATGTCCTTCCTACTTAGTTTTTGTTTATTTTCGATTGATTCTTGTTGCTTGTTTAGCTCTGCCTTCTAAACTAAGGTTTTCTTGATTATAACCTGATTGCTGGTTATCCTCAGTTACTTGTTCATAGTGAAGTTGACAAGCCCACTCTGGTCCTCACAGGTAGCGCATATGATGAGGTGGATGAACTTGGGCTACACAGTAGGGCTATCTGTGCGTTTGCTGGTAACTACGTGTCACTGTATCTCCAACTCTCAGTATTTGAAGGAAAGGTCTTCCAGACTCTTGCCTGAAAAGCAAGGTCAATCCACCAGCATGGTGAGGGAGATTCAGCCAAACCCATGTGGGAGCAACCAGTTGTGAGCCGTTTGGTATGTGGAGTGAGTGTGCTTCCTGCTGTCTCTCTCCCGTGCTAGGAAAGGCATCTAGAGACATGGAGTCATAAGTTTTGTTTTCTTCTTTATCCATGCTGGAAAGGAACTTCACTG